TTTTCACTCTCCTCCTATAAATAAGCCTCTCACTCCTTGTCTCTCTTTTATACTTCAACCAAACTGCTCTCTCTCTCTCTCTCTCTCTCTCTCTCTCTTTTCTTCTCTCCCTCTCTACACTGCCGTCCATTAATGGCAATGGCGGCCAAAGTCTTCACTCAAAACCCTATCTATTCTCCATCATCTCTAATTAGAGACACAACTCCTCAACAGAAACACAATCTTGGCCATTTCTCCCTCTCCAAGAACAGCTCTAAAAGACTCGTAGTTGTCTCTTCTTCTATAATGTCCCCTCCAATTCCATCTTCTCCGCTCTCTCCACCCTCTTTTTCTTCTTCTTCTTCTCTGGTCGCTTCTCCTTCTCGAACACCTGCAGCAACTCTACCGCTGTCTCGGGTTTGGAGAGAGATACAAGGAAGCAATAACTGGGAGAATCTCATTGACCCTTTAAACCCTATTCTCCAACAAGAGATTACTAGGTACGGGAACTTACTCTCCGCTTCTTACAAAGGGTTTGATCTTAACCCTAACTCCAAACGTTACTTGAACTGCAAGTATGGCAAAAAGAACTTGCTTAAAGAATCCGGAATCCATGACCCTGATGGCTACCAAGTCACCAAGTATATCTACGCCACACCAGACATCAACCTCAACCCTATCAAGAACGAGCCTGAACGCGCACGTTGGATCGGTTATGTTGCCGTTTCTTCTGATGATTCAGTGAAACGTTTGGGGAGGAGGGATATTGTTGTGACTTTCCGTGGCACTGTGACCAACCCTGAATGGGTAGCTAATCTAATGAGCTCTTTGACTCCGGCTAGGCTTGATCCTCATAACCCTCGCCCGGAAGTCAAGGTGGAATCCGGGTTCTTGAGTTTATACACATCCGGTGAGAGCGATAGCAAATTCGGGCTGGAAAGCTGCCGTGAGCAGCTTCTCTCCGAGATCTCAAGGCTTATGAACAAACACAAAGGCGAGGAAATGAGCATCACACTTGCGGGACATAGTATGGGGAGTTCTCTAGCTCACCTTCTAGCTTATGATATAGCGGAGCTCGGTATAAACAAACCAAGAGGCGAAAAAGCTGTTCCGGTGACCGTGTTTTCGTTTGCGGGTCCTAGGGTTGGTAATTTGGGGTTCAAGAAACGGTGTGAGGAGCTGGGAGTTAAAGTCTTGAGGATCACAAATGTAAACGATCCGATCACGAAACTTCCTGGTTTCTTGTTCAATGAGAAATTCAGATCTTTAGGTGGTGTTTACGAGCTTCCTTGGAGCTGTTCTTGCTACACTCACGTGGGAGTCGAACTCACACTCGATTTCTTCGACGTACAAAACATGTCTTGTGTCCATGACCTCGAGACTTACATCAGTTTAGTAAACCGTCCGAGATGCTCGAAATCGGCGGCTAAGAAAGACAATTTAGGCGGAGAGTTTTTGAACAGAACAAGTGAGATGATGTCCGGTAAGGGACGACGTCGAGCGTTGCAGTTAAGAAACGCAGCAGCCAATGCGGCGTATTTACTTTGTTCTGTATCCAACCATATGTTGTATTATAGTATCTTTTAGGTCTAGATTAATTGATCCAAGCTAAAAATTTTGGGTCTTCTTTTTTTAAAGATAGGGGAAATAATTGTAACCCAATCTTTAACGTAGCAAGTACATATATAGATATGTATATGTATATGCATAACCTAACTATAATGTTTTTAGATGGTTAGTGTGGTAGATCAAACTTTTCTTGTTAATCACTTTAATTTTATGTGAATATATCATCATTACACGAAGCAATTTACGAAAAAAGCTAGCATAGAGCGTTTGTTTCAGCTATTTTAATTTCCAGATCCAAGATTAATTCGGAAGATAAAGAGCGAGTTCTCCAACATATAGTAGGCATGCATTTGAGATCAATTGTAAAAATTAAACTAAAAGCTAGCCACTAAGAAGAAAACCTAAAATATATTCTTGAACACGAACAAAACCCCAAAGCATGTTCACGGCATCAAAGGATTTGAGATACCAAAACTCTCATTGTGTCCTGTGAGATGAGATGATCGGTTGAGCGTCATTTTTTTCAATTTTATTGAGAAAGGGATCCATTGGATCTACCTCTATCTCTTTTTCTACTCTATGATGGCTTTTTTGTGTGTGTGTGTGTGTTTTTTTTTTTGGACTTGATGCTTGTTGACTAGTTTTTTTTGTTTTACTGTAAATTATAAACTTTAAGGAATGTGAATACAATAGATTTTCCAACTTATTGCAAGAAAAAGTTTTCCAGAAAAGGTTAAAAGTCAATAATCTTATTCCTTGTATATGACTTTGTTAATAACATTGCAGTGGCATGTAATTTTATTTTATTTTCGTAAATCATTCGCACCAAAACATATGTAAAAAATGATTTCGTGTATTTGAACCCCCCCCCCCCCCTACCCCAAAAAAAAAAACTACAATAACATGCCAAATTGCCAAATTTTAGTTTTTTCGTTGTTTTCTTTAATTCACAGTAAATGTTTATTTTAAAAAGAACACCAGCATAGATAACAATAAGTTTCGTATTAATTTAAACACAAAATATTACATTGATTATCTTGTATACTGGATACTGTTGCTATTGCAACCACTAAAATTCTTTATTTGTTACTATTATTTATGAGTTCACAATATAATACTTTTCTATAGGTTAGAGTTCTCAACATTTGAAGAACAAAAAGCGTCAAAACTCAAAGATTATGAATAAGAAAGGGACGTCCAATATATATCTCGCGTGTACATACCATAAATAAGCTATGTTTTGAATGTTTTCCATTATATTTCTAATCCATATATGGCTGTTTTATATTATTATAGTAGAAGTGACAAGAAATAAAGGCCAAATTAAAGACAACACCATGCATATTGTCAAAACTTCAACATCGTTGTAAGATAAAAAATGGACAAGATCAAATCATTTTGTCAACGTTTCAACATCGTTGCAAGCTATATGATGTATGTTTTGTTTTTTCTTCTTCCAAATAATCAAATTTTCAAACATAAATCCCCTAAATCTAATTGATGTGCTTAAATTTATATCAAATTGGATATATGATACAGTACCATATATTTATCACTGTATGTCTCTATGTTATTTGTCAATGAAAGCAATGGGTGTTTGATTATATATACACAATATCTATCTATATTTTCCATTTTGTATGTCAAGAGTCTTTCTTCTCGTGTTATGCGAGGACGGAGAGGATCGATATTTCATATACTTTATTTGCTATATATATATATATTATAATGCCAGACATAATATATAGATGATAAGAATATACATAACATATTGGGTTTATATTGTCATTAAGAAACTAGACGTTATGCTTTGCTTAATTACAAGTTTACAACTATCTAGCTAGCTAGACTTGCGTGTACGTGGGGAACACAGAATGAATTTCAAGGTTAAAACTACATCTTGTTCAAATTATCGCTTTGTGATATGAAGATGTTCGTATAAAGTCAGAAAAAAATCGAAGAAATACTTGATTCCTTTTGAACAAAAAAGGAGAAAGAAATTATTGAAGAAAAACTTCATCAGAGGCATATATATATGTATGTCGTTGTTTCTATAATAACAATAATAAGAAAGAGTATCTTTCGTTTCGGGTTTTGTCATCATGCGCGTGTGCGCTGACGTGAACTTGTTTTAATAGAAGTCTCCTGTGATTTCGACAGTTTCTAGTTGTCTGATTAGTGATTAACGAACGAACTGTGATGTTCCCTCTCTCTCTCTCTCTGTACTATATTTTGCACGTGCATCATCGCTACCTCAATAATTTTGCTTATATTTTTTTTTTTCTTTTTGTCCTAATCATATATGTTTAACAAAAAACAAAAAGTTTTTTTCTCATATACGTACATCCATTTCAAATTCTATATAAAAACATCATTTACATACTGTATATATGTTGCTTTTTACATTATTTGGATTTCGGTCCAATGAGAGGTTTCGTTGAAAAATTTAAGAATAATTCAACTTAAAATTGGAAGTTTGGTTAACGGATTACATCATTCATAATTACATATAAAGAGTAGGAAAAAAATCACAAAATTTCAAATTTCTTACAAATCACATGGCCGGTCAATAAGGTGGGGTTAGGGGAAACACACAATTCCACGGGAAGAATGTTTGTGTGTACTTACTTTACTTTACTTTGCGCGTCATATAAATGTTTGTCTCTTTACAAAAACGTTTATTTTATTTTGCATGCATTATATTAGTTTGTCTAATTAAGCGAGAGAGAGAGAGCTGTAAGAGTACGTACGCATCTTAATCACGACTCCACTGTAAGAGTACGTACGCATCTTAGCCACAATCCACAAAACGATAAGAGCATTGGGGGTTTTTGTTAGTTATAATTTTGGTATTACATTATTTCAGTAAAATATATGATTATGTTGTTAAGTATAGTCTATACATTATACGTAAAATATAGATATGAATTATGATTGTCCTAATTAAGTAGTATGGTGGACTAATCCAATTATAAACTGGCCGGTGGTTCCATGTAATCTATCTATCATATTAACACACCTAAACAAACTTTACAATATAAAAATCCTGAATGTAGAGGAGTTAAACAAAATAAAAATAAAGCCTTTGCTATTTTGCGGCCCAACAAAGCCCAAAAGGTAGGTGGCTAAGCTGACTCGGTAATCGGTTCAAAGAAAATATTTTAGTGCAGTAATTAATTAATTAACTAAAGGTTTGGTTTTGGATTTGGGTTCGATAAGAAGAGATCGATCACGTGAGGCGCATGTGACATCCAACGAAATTGGGCCAATCACTGAAAAGTGAAGACTTTTTTTTTTTATCTCTCCCCACTAAAAAGGCATCATCTCTCTCTCTCTCTCTCTCTCTATCTTTTTATTTTCAAAAAGACAAAAACCCATAACTTTGCTTTGCATCTCTCTCTCTTCTTCTTGCTTTTCTCTCTCTCTCTCCATTTGGCGATAGAAGCCATGTACCAATCATCGTCATCCACATCATCATCATCGCAGAGATCATCGCTTCCCGGCGGTGGCGGAGGAGGACTGATCCGATACGGCTCTGCTCCGGGATCGTTTCTTAACTCTGTGGTGGACGAAGTCATAGGAGGAGGGTCAAACGCCCGTGACTTCACCGGCTATCAGCCGTCGGATAACTTCATCGGTAATTTTTTCGCCGGCGCTGACTCATCCTCGCTGAGATCCGATTCGACCACTTGTGGAGTCAACTCATCCGACGGACAGAAGCAGCTAGGCAATCATCATAGTAGTAATAATAAAGATCTCTTCCTCGACAGATCCTACGGTGGATTCAATCACGAGATCTCGCAGCAAAAGAGCAACGAACTCGGAGGGGGATCAGGAAACAGCTCTGGATCTTACTCTCTCGCCAGACAACGTAGCTCTCCCGCCGATTTCTTCAGCTACCTCTCCGCTGATAAAAACAGTGAGTTTCTTCAATTTTTCACTCTTTTTGTTTTCAAGAAATCAACATTTAACAGTTAGTAGTATAGTTGTCATGATATCTCATACATATAGACAGACACGTTTACTCAGTTTCTGAATCCGGACTTTAGGATTTTGCCAAAACCGTAATGTAGTTATGAGATCGATTGTGTAGTTTATTACATCATCCATTGCTGAATCCCAAAAAAAAAAAAAAAATAGATCAATAATTACTTACATTTGGGGGAAATCTACCTACGAGGCTGCTGACTGCTGAGGGTATGTTCGGTATCTCGCTGTAACAGACTGTATTGTACGAAACGAAAGCCATAAAATAAGTTGACATTTGTGTGATTGAATATATTTTAGGGTCGTTGCTAGTTATAGTTTAGTTTATGCTGGTTGGTGCGGGACGTGATCCTCGTATTTTTATATCGCCCTTTGATCCGAACCACGTGCTTTTAAAACTACAGCAAAGTGTGTGTTGTTTAGTGTGGCTCGGTTACCCTTTTGGATATTATTTTAATATCTTCTTCGACGAGGAATTCCAGAAACCCAAGTTGCAATTTTTTATAACAATACAAGATAGATGGGGTCTTTTTAGTTCGTGACCATTAGTATTGTTTGCTGACGTGGTGAAATTTCATTGGTTGTTTAGAAGATTATTTAAATGGAAAGCGATAGATCTAGTTGGTGGATCTCGTCCTTGTTTTCGGGTTTCTTTGGTCCTAATGATTCGTGCTTTTTGCTTCGTTGTTATCTCTAATAATAATAATATCTTCCACCAAGCCTGGATGTGACTTCCAACGCCTAACCGGTCATTCGCATTTCGCACTGAACTAACCAGATTTCCACATGATGCATGTCATTATATAATATAGTTTACTTTGCTTTGTCAATCAGATTTCGCATTGAACCAACCAACCAGTGATTATAATAATCCCCAAGTAGGGTCGACTAACGTGGGACGAGGACATTCGAGATTGAAGTCTCAGCTTAGTTTCACGAGTCATGATTCTCTGGCTCGGATCAACGAGGTCAATGAGACCCCTGTCCACGATGGTTCTGGCCATTCTTTTTCCGCTGCTAGCTTTGGTGCCGCCGCTACTGATTCTTGGGATGATGGTTCCGGTTCAATTGGGTTTACCGTCACCCGACCCAATAAACGATCCAAGGACATGGACTCTGGTCTCTTTTCACAGGTACAATTGTGTGATTATCTATTGTCATATATTTTTTTTTGGTGGGGCTCTCAAGGAAGTGGCAAACACTTACCGAATCTTTCTACCACTGGTTTTGCAGTATAGTCTTCCTTCAGATACTTCGATGAACTACATGGACAATTTCATGCAGCTTCCTGAAGACTCTGTACCCTGCAAAATCCGGGCCAAGCGCGGCTGCGCCACCCATCCAAGAAGCATCGCCGAGCGGGTCAGTCAAACACACACAATTTTATTTATTTAGCTATGGTTTCACTCTGTTCTTTTTGCCCTCCTAACTTAACATATACTTATTATAAGTTTATTTATATACGTAATGATGATTCTATAGGAGAGGAGAACGAGAATAAGCGGGAAACTAAAGAAGCTACAAGATCTTGTCCCCAACATGGATAAGGTTACTTTGAATCACACCAAATTTAGAGTAACATATTAGTTTAAGAAAAAGTGTTTATTCACTTATATACAATACTATTGCTTGTTACTGATTTTCTTAGCAAACAAGCTATTCGGACATGCTGGATTTAGCTGTACAACACATCAAAGGCCTTCAACATCAACTCCAGGTTAGTTCTCCACAAAAGTATCAATTATCTCATTTTCTGTTTAGGTCAGCTGAATCCATTCTCAGGGTTAATTCTCTAATTCATCAGTATTTATTGACACATTTTCATGCACAAACTCAGAGTTTGAAAAAGGATCAAGAGAATTGCACGTGTGGATGCAGTGAGAGACAAAGCTAGCAGCAACCCTAACGGTAGGGATTATCCTAATATAAATTATTTTTTTGTTGTTCGGATTACAGAGAAGATGACGTTTGGTATTTAATATAAGAGGATTAGAGAAGATGTAAATAAATAGATTATTAAGTGCCTAATTCTCTTATAAACTTCTCATTTGTTGTCATTATAATATAGAACATTGACAATTGTTTATTATGTTTTTATGCAAGTGTAATGTCATAATGCTGTTGCTTATTTCTTTTAAGAACTTTGCTACGAATTTTCAAATCTTATTTGAGTAAAGCAATTAGTTTTTATTATCTGGTTTTATAATTCTCTTTATATATATATATATATTTTTTTTTTTTGTCATAAAGTAATTTCTGAAATAGAAGGTTACAAGTGTGTGACTAATCCCAAGTATAAATACTAGCTGAACCAATAGAAAAATGAAAAAGCAGAATTCAGTTACTAAAATAAGTGAATCTCGTCGATCATGCATGGTTCTTTTGACGGTGAAATGAATGATGACCATGGTCATTTTTAGTAATTAACAACATGTACGTTACTAACTTACTATACTATAGAAAATAAGTAAATACATATATGTATGTGTAAATTGGAATGGTACCTGAACCGGAATACTCTTTTTTTTTTTTGGGTAGTATTAGCACATGCATGTATGTTGGAAACGGGGTTATCTATAAAACCCACATTAGCGTGTATGCACGTTACAAAGTTACGTAGATTCATCCTTAAATAAAATCCTTAATTAAAGATGATTGTTTTCTTTAGTTATACTATATACATATACTTTTGTCTAAATAATAGTAGTACTAATTTGTTTTGGTATCACAGAATATTTTTTAAGAGTCTCTTTAGTTTGTAAAATTACGGGAAACGTCAATATATATGATGTAGTTTGGTTAATGGGTTAGCAAATGGCTTAAAATTAAAATGGATCCAAGAGAAAGGCGGCAGTTAACCTCGTCCCGTCGTCCGTGCAAAACCGAAAGTAAAATTAATGATCTGCCTTTTTACGTTACAACGTGTTGTTGTATTAATTAAATACAACAAATAAGAAGAAGAAGAAAAGAGGGAAAAAGTCGCAAAAAAAGGAAAAAAAGAAAAAGGAGCGGCGATATTAAGAGAGGAGGGAGGGAGCACTTAATGCGCAGTATGTCCTCTTGCCAGCTTGTTGCACCGTCCTCTCTCTCTCTCTCTCTCTCTCTCTCTCTCTCTCTCTCTCTCTCTTTCTAAAACCAGTTCCAACTTCTCTCTCTCTCTCTGATCTCTAGAAGAAGAGGAAGGAGCAAAAGATGTCTTCGGATGACGAAGGAAGAGAGGAGTACCTCTTCAAGATTGTGGTTATCGGCGACTCTGCTGTCGGTAAATCCAATCTTCTCTCTCGTTACGCTCGGAACGAGTTCAGTGCGCATTCCAAGGCTACGATCGGCGTCGAGTTTCAGACGCAGAGTATGGAGATTGAAGGCAAAGAGGTTAAAGCTCAGATTTGGGATACTGCCGGCCAGGAGCGGTTCCGTGCCGTCACCTCTGCTTATTACCGTGGCGCCGTCGGTGCGCTCGTCGTTTACGACATCACCCGCCGCACCACTTTCGAGAGCGTCGGGCGTTGGCTCGATGAGCTTAAGAGTAAGAGTCTTCTTGATTTCCACTCCAAAGGATTTGGGTTCTCGAGTTTAATGGGATGTGAATTAGGTAGACCAGAATTGCGAATTTGAATCTAAATTTGCTATTTTGGGGATTCAAAATCTATTAAAGATTGCAAATTTATGGGGTTCATATGTATACAAGTCTCATGATGCTTGCTCTGTTTTATAGATCAGAGTCTCTATAGAATGTGTAATTTCTGCAGTCTAGATTAGATAAAAGTTTACTTATGTTTCTACTATCTAGAACTTAACAGAGCATTGTTTTAGAAAGATGAAAACTTTACTCAATTCCGTTTGAACAGAAAGAATATATGAGAGTAACCAATGGTCGATCTTCTTCAGTTTTGTGCAACTCCATATGCTCCTTTGATTCTCATGATTATAGCTTTATGCGATCATATTCATATGGACTTCATTTCACTTATTTTTAACCTTGGCTTCCCATGTAAAACTATAGGATGTTTGGGGATTTAAATTTGTTCTGTGTTTTGTTGTCATCAGTCCATTCGGATACAACGGTGGCGAGAATGCTGGTGGGAAACAAGTGTGACTTAGAAAACATAAGAGCAGTGAGCGTGGAAGAAGGCAAAACCCTAGCAGAAGCACAAGGACTCTTCTTTGTGGAAACATCCGCACTTGATTCGACCAATGTGAAAACAGCTTTTGAAATGGTGATACTTGATATCTACAACAATGTCAGCCGTAAGCAACTCAACTCAGACACCTATAAAGATAAACTCACCGTTCATCGAGTAAGTCTTGTTAAGGACGATAACACTGCCTCCAAACAGAGCTCCAGTTTCCCCTGTTGTTCTTCCACTTAACAAATTTATTTGTCCCTTTCTTTCTCATTGTAACTTTTTTTTTAAATATATTTTTATATTTTTTTCTTTGTCTTACAGAAGAAAAGAAAAATTCATGAACTGTAATTTATTTTTGTTTTATTTCTCCTATTATAAATTTTTGGGAAATATTGAAATTGATCTATTCACTTTACTTGGATCGTTTTTTAATTTTTAGTTTGACTTCCTATCTTAAATAAGACTAATAAATTGATTGGTTTTGGGAAAAGCGAGGGAAAAAGGAAATCCAAATAGGAAAAAAGGAAAAGTTCTAAAAAGGACAAAAACAAATAAAAGATGGCTTTTGGTCGGAGTTTTCTCTCTGGTTTTGTAACAACGAAGATGAACGGAGAATAATTTCTTCCTCTTTTCCTTTTTTTCTCTTCCTTCCACAATCATTCAAATTTTCTTCTTCTCTCTCTCTCTCTCTCTCTCTCTCTCTCTCAATTTCTCACGGTGGCGATGTCATTACCTCCGTTTAGCAGCCGTCTTCTCGCGGCGGCGGTTGCCCTCTATCTAATAGGTCTGTTTTGCGTGGGTGCTGACACGAAAGGTGATACCGCTCCGAAAATTCCTGGTTGTTCCAATGCGTTTCAATCGGTAACACTATTTTTCCCTATTCGAGTTCCTTTTTATAATTCCTCGTTCAAATTTCGGTCCAGTGTTCATCAATAAACCGGAATCGTTATATGATTAACGGAACTGTATGTATATAAATTGCTCTGATTTAAAGGAATCAAATTTTGCAAACACAAGTTTTTTTTTTTTTGTATTAGCCTCTGCTGTTGCTGTTGAGATTTCGAAAAGTTAAACCTAAACCCTTCATTTAAATCAATCTATAGGACGAGCTTGATGGTGTTGAAAACTATAGAGTCATGTACACAACTTGTCTACCTGATCACATTACTTATGCAACTTATGTAGGTCAAAGTCGAGAATTGGGTTAACGGAGAAGAAGGTGAGAGTTTTACGGCCATGACTGCTCAGTTTGGTGCCATGCTTCCCTCTGATAAAGACAAAGCTGTTAAACTTCCGGTTTCTCTTACCACTCCTTTGACCAGTTGCTCCAATTTAACCTCAAAGGTCTTCCTTTTCCTTCTTCATCTTATACACCAGTCTTTGCTTTCCAAAATCGAAGCCTTTTTTTTAAGACTTTTGGATTAGCACTCGACAGTTCATTATGCTGTTACTTAATGTTAATGTAGTTTCTTTTCTTTGCAGCTATCTGGTTCTATTGCGTTATCTGTGCGTGGTGAATGTACTTTCACGGATAAGGCTGAAGTTGCGCAGGCAGGAGGAGCTGCAGCTTTGGTGTTAATAAACGATAAAGAAGGTTGAGATTTTGTATTCAGTCCCCGTAACTGTATCCCCGCGTTGCTATTTTCTTGCTTTGTGGTTCTTGTTTCAAATGAGCCTCTAACATATGTTTCTCCTATTTTTGCTTTTTCAGAGCTGGAAGAGATGGTTTGTGATGAGAAAGATACTTCCTTGAATGTTTCTATACCTGTTTTGATGATTCCAACGTCATCTGGAGATGCACTGAGGAAATCCATTTTGCAAAATAAGAAAGGTAAGGTCAAGGTCTAGCCATTTTCCTGTATGATCCTTATATGTTTTATATCCCCATCCACTCAAATTGGCGTGTTGCAGTTATTAGTCTCACTATTTCTAGGATAGTCTTTCTGTTTTTGTTTTCTACTGTTCTTTTGATTCCTCTGTGATTTTTGATGCAGTGGAGCTTTTATTGTATGCTCCAAAGAGCCCAATTTTGGATTATGCAGTGATCTTCCTCTGGCTCATGTCTGTTGGAACAGTTTTCATTGCTTCTGTTTGGTCACATGTCACCAGTCCTAAGAAGAATGATGAGCAATACAATGAATTATCACCCAAGGTTTTGCATTTTGGGTTCTGAGCAAAGATGAATATATGATAATCTATTTTTGATAGAAATTACTTAAAACACCCATTTGTTTTAGTTATACACTAATTCATGTTCTTTCCGTATCATCTGAATTGTTTTGGCAGAAATCTTCAAATGACGAGGCTAGCAAAGCTGCTGAAGACGAAACTCTTGATATCAGTGCTAAAGGTGCTGTTATCTTTGTCATATCAGCGTCCACATTCCTCATTTTGCTCTTCTTCTTCATGTCATCGTGGTTCATCTTGATCCTGACCATATTTTTCGTCATTGGTGGTATGCAGGTAATGTTGGCTACTCTTGAGCATATTCTTAATTTATGATCGATAATATTGTTATGTCAATATCATAATATTAATGTATTTTCTATCTCAGGGAATGCATATTATTATCACCACACTCATAAAAAGGTACTCTCAGAAACCCAATTAAGTTGTTGAACCAGAAAGCGCTCTTTTCTAGCTAGTTAAAAAGCATCATGACATCATGTGATGCTTTCTCTTTATTCATGTATTTATTTCTGTAGGAGATGCAACAAATCTGGCCAAAAGAATGTAAAACTCCCTCTGCTTGGGAATACCTCAATTCTCTCACTCGTGGTTCTGTTATTCTGCCTTGCGGTTGCTGTCGTCTGGTTTATCAAGCGCAAAGCTTCGTACGCATGGGCAGGCCAAGATCTTTTTGTAAGTCCTTTTGAGCCTCGTAATATTGCAGTTGTCTAAAGCCAAATTATCCCTTTATAACTTTGTTATTCTTCGATATTTTTGCCGTATTTCTAAACAAAACTATTGGCGTGACGTACTCAACATTTACTTTCACTTGTTCGAATACAACTCAAGGTTCTGTTTTGTTTCAGACATTTTGCCGTTGACCACTAATTTTTAGCAATTAGTTTAACATGCTTTTGGTTCAGTATTGTCCTTAGTTAGCTTTCTAAGCTTGACGTGTCATCTGACAGGGTATTTGCATGATGATAAATGTCTTGCAAGTGGCTCGGCTACCTAATATCAGGGTAAGTTTTCTGTATCACTGTCTGTATTTTCCAATTATATTTCTTTGTTGTATGTGTTCTAATGTGTGTCTCACGTTTAGGTTGCTACCATTCTTCTCTGTTGTGCATTTTTCTATGACATCTTTTGGGTATTCATATCACCACTAATTTTCAAGCAAAGTGTTATGATTGCGGTGAGTTTTTGATATCTTCCTCCATTTACCAAAGTGTGTCTCACTGCTTGATACTTAGTCCTCTTTCTGCAAGGAGAAGAATATCTAATGCTCTTTGTTCAAAAATCCATCTTTCCATATGATTTAAAAACTTGAGGCCTCATCAAACCAGAGCATGTGTTTGTATCGGATAGTTGCCAAAGCACCCAAAGATTGAGTTTGAGTTGCACTTGTTGTAATTTTATCTCAGTATAGAATGTTTGCACATGGCGAGAGCTAAGAAGGCCATTGTAGGTTAACCTCAATCACGTACAAGTCGAATACTATATGATCCTGTTTGTTAATCAATGGCATAGGTTGCACGTGGGAGCAAAGACACTGGAGAATCTATTCCCATGCTTTTGAGAATACCACGGCTTTCTGATCCATGGGGTGGTTACAACATGATCGGCTTTGGAGACATTCTTTTCCCAGGTCTTCTCGTATGCTTTATATTCAGGTAGCACTCTCCTGCATTGGCATAAAAATGATTCTGGCTCACGATTATCTATCATCAAACGCTATCCTCATCTCAATTTGTTTGTTGGCCACATATTCCTCTCAGATATGACAAGGAAAATAACAAAGGAGTCTTGAATGGATATTTCCCATGGTTAATGTTTGGGTACGGACTTGGCCTTTTCTTAACATACTTGGGATTGTATGTTATGAACGGACACGGACAACCTGCATTGCTCTATCTTGTCCCTTGCACGCTTGGTATCTCGTTCATCTCAAGAAAAACTCTGTATTTTGGTGGAGAATCTTAGTCATTGTTTAAACCCGACCATATGCAAGGTTTCTTACATATGTAGTGCGGTTTGCAGGAATCACGGTCATTCTGGGGTTGGTGAGGAAAGAACTCAGGGACTTGTGGAACTATGGGACTGAACAGCATTCAGCATTCAGCTGCAGATGTAAATCCATCTCCATAAGCAGAAATTGGCTTCAAACATGAATTGAAAAAGTCAGAACTCTAGAAACTGAAAAGAAGAAAAAAAAAAAAAATCATCATGTTTTTCTTTCTTTCACCCCATAAATCTAAGAAATCTACACTTTTGATGCATATACGTGTAGTCTCGAGCCCACCAGACGTATATAATGTAATGTATATTCATCACCAACTTCTGTATCTATTGAACAAGTTTTGTATACCCCCGCTCTCTGGTTAATACTGTACAAAATACGAATAGAAATAAGATCCGTCAAAATTAAGTTCTCAAGTTGTGCAAATCAAATCATACAGAATGAATTTGGATCAAACTATTATTACATTCTTCTTACCAAAAAGAAAGAAAAAAACCTATATTAACAAAAGACCAAACAGAGAGAAAAAAAGACCAAAAGTCAAAAGACATACAGAGACACAGATAAAAGATACTTACTTTTACACTAAACGGTGTCGTATCCTGTTTCTAAAATTGTTGCCTGTCTTCTACAAATATATACATACGTGTGTGCGCAGAGAGGAAGTATTAAAAAGTGAACTCAGAGCAGATCTAGAAAGAAGAAGAAACTGTTAATTTTAGCCGGCGGGAAACGGAATATTTGTGGGTGCAAAAGCTCTTTTTCTCCCCCTCACAATTGCTTCCCTCTTTCGCTTAAACCCTAATCATCGAGATCCCTCAAACCCTACGATTTCGATTTCAATTTCAATTAGCGGAGATAGCGAGAGAGAGAGAGAGAGAGAAACTTACCGAACAGCGCATCTACTCTTCGTCCGAATTGTTTCAATGTCGTGTGTTTCGAAACCACTAGAGGAAGAAGCAGAAGAAGAAGAAGAAACCCAAAGGAAAACCGAAGAACTTCACGACCACTCTGATATTCCAGTTCGTTACGCCTCTCTTGAGAGCGTCTACTCCGTCTCCCCTTCTTCGTGTTGCATTAGCGCCGCTGGTTCACATAAGAAGGTCAATGCCTATAATAAGCATTCTATAGCCGATGCTTTACAATCCCATGGTCATGCGGCTGATTTTGAGTTGGGGCCTCATCGCCGACCGGAGATTGTTCACGTCTATTGTCGTCGTAAGAGGAGGAGGAGGAAGCGGCGGGAGTCTTTCGTTGAGTTAGCAATATCTCAGAACGAGGGAGAGGAGAGAAAGACTGTGAAAAGTGAAAGTACGGAGCTTGATGAGGAGGAGAAGAAGAAGCCCAAGAGGAGGAGGATCGGTAATGGTGAGCTCATGAAACTGGGCGTGGATTCTACTACGTTAAGCATCTCTGACACACCCGCTTTAAGGGGATGTCGAATTAAAGCTGTGTGTAGCGGAAGTAAACAAAACGGATCTTCCCGGACGAAGAACACTTTTGTCAAGAATCAGGACAAGGTTCTCACCGCTTCTGCTACTGCTAAGAAATGGGTCAGGTTAGGATTCTCTTGCCATTTTCTTCTCTCTTTTATCAACTGTCTGATCTCCGAGATCAGTCATTGGTTGAAATCTATATGCTTCTAACTTCTCACAATGTAGACGTTTTAGTGCTGATTGGCACATCATTTGCTAGTTTGATTGTTGTATGACTGGGGAGAGTTTTGGCATGGCAGGTTGAGGTATGATGGTGTCGATCCTAAAAATTTCATTGGGCTACAATGCAAGGCAAGCGTTGAGCTATATATTTATGTGCTTTATCTTTTCCCTTCCATCTTTAACAATTGATTGTTTGTCTAATCTCTAGGTTTTTTGGCCATTGGATGCTGTTTGGTATCCTGGTTTTATCAGTGGATATAATGTAGAGACAAAACATCACATTGTAAGTTATTTCTGTCTATTGTATCTTCTGGCTCATGTCCTTATTTTTGTTGACTGATGTAATATCGAAATGCTTGTCTTTTTCACCACTAAATGTTCCTCAGGTTAAATATGGAGATGGAGATGGCGAGGAATTAGCTCTTCGTCGTGAAAAGATCAAATTTCTAATTTCTCGTGACGAGATGGATTCGCTAAAAATGAAGTTTGCTTCCAGTGATGTGGCTGTTGATGGTCAAGATTATGATGAACTGGTTATATTGGCTGCTTCGTTTGAGGAATGCCAAGATTTTGAGCCTAGAGACATCATATGGGCGAAACTAACTGGTAAATGCTTTTTACACGTATTTTAGTATCTATTTTGTAGAAAATATTCAGGCATATAATCTCCCCTTCATAGTCACCATCTTTCTCTTTAAGCCCTGATTGCTGTTTGAAATTTGTGGTACTTAGTAAGCATGTATTGCCTGGCCTTCAAACATTCTGGTTTCAGGATAAACTTCTGAAGAAAACTAATTACCCATACTGAGAACCCTACTGCTGTGTGTGTTAACTTTTCCGGACAGGTCATGCTATGTGGCCAGCAATTATTGTGGATGAGTCTGTTGTAAAACGGAAAGGTCTAAACAACAAGATATCTGGAGGAAGATCAGTTCTCGTACAGTTTTTCGGCACCCATGATTTTGCTAGGTCAGCAAATCGTCTTATAATCCTTAGAGATCTTGTTGTACCACAGAGTTTTTGAAATTAATGTTACACATCATAATTTTGAAGTGGAAATTGACTATTTTTCTTTTGGTTATATAGAATACAAGTCAAACAAGCGGTCTCATTTCTTAAGGGGCTTCTGTCACGGTCTCCCCTGAAGTGCAAGCAACCTCGGTTTGAAGAGGCCATGGAGGAAGCAAAGATGTAAGTTTCTCTTGCTTTTCACTGGCACTCTACTTTTTTAATTTCCAAAGATAGTGAAGTTTCTGTATGTCTATCTGAACAAGAATGTGATGTCTGTGGTAAATTGCTGTAACTGACCTCACCCAGGTACCTAAAAGAATATAAGCTTCCAGGAAGGATGGATCAACTTCAAAATGTTGCTGATACTGGTTGTTCAGAAAGGACTAATAGTGGTGAAGAGGGCAGCTCAAACTCTGGTGATGATCACACAAAAGATGGAGAAGTCTGGTTGCGGCCAATGGAACTTGGAGATTGCTTGCATAGAATCGGAGATCTGCGAATAATTAGTCTTGGTAATGTTTGAAACTAATTAGTAGGTTGGATCATCCTTTCTTGGAATGGACTCTGTTCATTATGTATATGCTTATATCACTCGTCTTTGTCTGCTAGGAAGGATTGTGACAGACTCCGAATTTTTCAAGGATAGTCAGCATACTTGGCCCGAAGGGTATACAGCTATAAGAAAGTTCATATCACTGAAAGGTCAATTAGTTACCAGTTTTGTTGTTTTTCTATATTAATTTGGAATTGTTTGTCTTATATATGTGCAACTACGGGTTTTGACTTTAACCAGATCCTGATGTATCTGCCATGTACAAGATGGAAGTGCTTAGAGATGCCGAGTCAAAGACTCGCCCTGTTTTTAGAGTGACAACCAACAGTGGTGAGCAGGTTAGGTTTTTAGGTGGAGGCTTGTGTGCATAGAAGATTTGTTATAGCCATGTGTTGATTTGCTACTTTTTTTTTTGGACAGTTTAAGGGGGACACTCCATCTGCCTGCTGGAATAAAGTATATAATAGGATAAAAAAGAATCAGAGTGCTTCCGATAGTCCTGATGTTATGGGTAAAGGACTTTTAGAGTCTGGTACAGATATGTTTGGCTTCTCCAACCCAGAAGTAGATAAACTTATTCAGGTTTGTCTTCTTGAATCTGAAGTTATTTCGAGTGGTCATAATTTTCTTCTTTTACTCCTTCATTGACTAGACTCTCAGGAGATTTCGCTAGGTTCTCCGTTGTACTCATTTGCTGGGACCCTGAAAACTGTGCAATGGTCTACCTTCTGTTTTGCAGTAAAAATGCATTATTAGGCATCTTTTATGTTTGGCATGGAAGTTTTATATTATCAAGCTATATGCATCAAATCTTTCTCCTTGTCTCTTTGCGAGAGCATTTGAACTCTTAGAGAAACTATGGGTGGGTCCTGGCCTCCATCCTTTAAAAAGGAACCAACTTATATCAATAAAAAAATTTATGACTTTTTGTACTTTTTTTGTGTTGTAGATTCCAGTTTCTTACTTTGCAATATTCTTCAGCTTCTAGCAATTGCATTTTATGTATCTTGTGTCCTATAATAATTCTTGACCTTACTGGCAGGGGCTATTACAATCCAAACCACCGTCGAAGGTTTCTCAACGTAAATATAGTTCAGGAAAGTATCAAGATCATCCTACTGGTTATCGACCTGTACGGGTGGATTGGAAAGATCTTGATAAGTGCAATGTCTGCCACATGGATGAGGTTAACAATGCATCTTTCTTTTGATGGAACGGTTTGTATGCTTATTCTTGTACGCCTTAATAAGTTAGTTCTTACTTAAGATTTTCTTGTCTGCAGGAATATGAGAACAATTTGTTTCTGCAATGTGATAAATGTAGAATGATGGTAATGCTTTCTCTGAGTTGTTTATACTATTTTACATCCTTTTAGATCTATACTGTGTAGTGGCTGGCTTTCTTTCTTTTCCTTGATGATGCTCAGTAAGTTTTGATCCTGAACTAGGTCCATTCCAGATGCTATGGGCAGTTGGAATCTCGTGATGGGATTCTGTGGTTATGCAACTTGTGTCGTCCTGGCGCTCTTGATATTCCTCCTCGATGTTGTCTTTGTCCTGTAGTAGGTAATTCAACCGAAGCCTTGTGGTATGGAGTTGTTATATGCTTTTGTTAATGACCAATAAAATATCTTTCAGGGGGGGCTATGAAGCCAACAACTGATGGGCGCTGGGCTCATCTGGCTTGTGCCATTTGGATCCCAGGTATAATCTTCACCATTAGGATATGTTACACTGCATGTTTCTACTTTCTGCTTAGAATTTTGGAGGCTTTACCTTTATAATCCAAGATGTGTGAGCAACGATTGTGATATTATGCAGAAACATGCTTATTGGATGTGAAGAAAATGGAACCGATTGACAGGGTTAATAAAATCAATAAGGTTTGAGCTCTATTCTCTTTCAGTCCCCTTAACATCTGTTTTCTTAGACAGAGTTAGTTAACTTTTCACTGAGAGAACCGCAGCATAGTCTAATTTTCAGTAGCCACGTGATGCTTGAATAATAGTGGTATTTTTTTTTTCCTTCACACTTCAAAACAGGATCGTTGGAAATTATTGTGCAGCATCTGTGGTGTATCTTATGGAGCTTGTATCCAGGTAAGAATTATTTTGATGGCAAGAGAAAGCTGAATTATTGTTTATCAATTTACACATGAGAATATTTTTATTACTTCCCTTGTTTAGATTCTTTCATAAATATAAGTAATTGAATAAAGTAATTAACTAGGAACAATGATGCTCATTTTCAGTGTTCAAATAGCTCTTGTCGAGTGGCATATCATCCCCTATGTGCACGAGCTGCTGGTCTCTGTGTTGAGGTACTTTCATATCCTACAGGAGATCATAAGATTCTACAGTCATGTTTACTCAACCATACAGATTTTACAAAAGGGATGGTTCTAACTAAAATAGCATTTTGTAGCTTGCAGATGAGGATAGACTTTTTCTTTTATCAATGGAGGATGATGAAGCAGATCAGTGCATCCGCCTGCTTTCCTTTTGCAAGAGGCATCGACAAGCGTCAAACGACCACCTAGACACTGAGTACATGATCAAACCTGCTCATAATATTGCCAAGTATCTCCCACCTCCCAATCCATCTGGCTGTGCTCGCACTGGTATGCAGTTACATTGATCAATATTTGCTGCTGCTAGAAATAAAAGTATAGAATCACCTATTTGGGGTGGAATTATTTTGCTCGAAATTCTCTTACTTCACATGTGGCTATGTGCGTCTTTTTTTCAGTTTGAATGATGTTACATTATTCTCTTAGACATTTTTATTTTATTCTCAGAGATTTAATGTCATGTATTTTTCCATTGTGCTTCCTTGTATTCATGTTCACATCTGGAAGAGGACATTGTATAGGTCAGTTTATAGCTTTATCTTCCTGGATTGTTAATGTATTTCCCTCTGTTTCTTGTAGAGCCATATAATTATCTTGGAAGAAGAGGACGAAAGGAACCCGAAGCTGTTGCTGGAGCTAATTCAAAACGTTTATTTGTTGAGAATCAGCCGTATATTGTTGGCGGATACTCTCGACATGAATTTTCAGCCTATGAACGCATTTATGGATCAAAGATGTCACAATTAATTACTCCAAGCAATATTCTCTCTATGGCCGAGAAATATACATACATGAAGGAAACTTACAGGAAGAGATTAGCATTCGGTAAGCATTTAATCAGCAATAGTAAAAGATATTACTACTTGTCAAATTTTCTGCTATGTTGCATCAATTTTACAGCCTTTGGGGGGTTTTGAAGATCAAATTAGTGAAATTTTTGTAAGAAGATAAACTGTAGGATTTTTTTCTTTCTCCCTGGGATATATGGTGCATCCTTGTGATAGGTCTCTGAATAGTGATCGTTTTACTTATTATAGATTAGAAGGGAAGTGATTCCCATAATGGCTTAACATATCCATCAAAACTAATTTTCTCTGAATTTATTGTTTTCCTTTAAATGGTTTACTTTCTTCTACAGGGAAATCGGGAATCCATGGTTTTGGGATCTTTGCAAAGCTTCCGCACAGGGCAGGAGATATGGTTGGCAATTCATAACTTTAACTGTCCATTCTTGCATAGTAAAGCGTCAGTCATGACAATATTGTGATTTGGGTGGGTGCAGGTGATTGAATACACTGGTGAACTTGTTAGGCCTCCAATAGCTGACAAGAGAGAACATCTTATATACAACTCAATGGTGGTACGTAGCTGACCTTGTACATTCTATACTCTATAGAAATATCTGAGCAACATTGGAACCTAACTATAAGCACAATGATTTGTGGCTTTTCTCATCTAGAACAATACATCATTTTAGTCTGTTCTATTTTAATGATTGGTTTTCTGGCTCAAGCACTGAACATTCTTTTAGCATTCCCTTAAACAACATGCATTATTAGTAATAATATCTACTTATCTTCCTAACTTATTCTTACAGATTTTTGGGATCTGAATATCTGATATATTTGGTTATGAGTACTGAATGGTTAGGTATAAGTTTACCAAAATAATTTATTTTATGATATAGGGTGCTGGGACCTATATGTTTAGAATTGATAATGAGCGGGTCATAGATGCAACAAGGACAGGAAGTATTGCCCACCTGATCAATCACTCATGTGAGGTATGGTCAAGTAGTTTTGAGAATTTGTTATTTGATTTAGTTAGCATCTGCAATATTACACATTACTTATGGATATGTTCCTGTACAGCCAAATTGCTATTCAAGAGTCATTAGTGTTAATGGTGATGAGCATATTATCATATTTGCAAAGAGGGATGTCACAAAATGGGAGGAGCTGACCTATGATTACAGGTTTCTTTTTGTGCATTTTGATTCTTGGGTGCTTTTTTGAAATTGCACCATCGTATGCTGATTTTTAGTCTTCAACATTACAGATTTTTTTCAATTGATGAGCGCCTTGCATGTTACTGTGGTTTCCCAAGATGCCGGGGTGTTGTTAATGACACCGAAGCCGAAGAACAACAGTCAAATATTCATGCTTCTCGCTGTGAGTTAAAAGATTGGACAGAAACCTGAGAGGTAACCTATATTTGTTGAATATGTTAACTTTAGAAGAGTTTGCTCTTTGTAGCTATTAAAAGCTAGTTTCCAGGTTAGTAGATGTCTTATCTCCATTGAAGATGATGACTTCTTTAACGCGTCTTTATCTCTTCGAGAAGTGCCTAATATCACGGTGAGACCAGGCATTTGTATTGCAAAAAATTTCATTATCCCAATGGAAGTTGTCAAATTTACACACAAAATCCTTTTGTTTGCCATTTGATGAAAGATCCTAACCATCTGTTTCGACTTGCAGGTGCTTACTTGATCCAGATCTTCACATCTGGTGTACATGAGATCTTTGTGAGGATGTCAAACGTTTAAGAATTCTCATGATTCTGGCTAACTTCCCCATCTAGAGATGCCTTAATCTCCCTAAGCACATACTGTAGTAACTCTCTCTTAACTTCGGATCGGTCTATCCCAAGAGTTTGTAACAATATATTTCTTGTACAGATGCTAATAAATACTAGAACCGCATTAACCCTTTTTGTAAGATGAGGCACATTACAGTCTTGGGTAAATGAAAAAAACCAGCATTTTCTTCTTTATCCTGACCCTCAATCTGCTGTTTATCTTATTTATCAAGTTTAGGCATGATGGTTTCATTTATATACGTATCATGTTATAAAACAATTTGGCTGTAGATCTTTTTAATCTGATAAGCACTGTGATTAGATATTCAACAGGGGATCAAGTTATTGAGTCAAGAGGTAAGAGAAGCATAGTTTTCTTCGGTCTGACACGCAACATGTGAAAGGAAAAAAGTCCTTTTTACACTCCTATAAGTAGTTTGTAGTGTAACTTTATTTCCACCTTTGGTTCTTTGTGCATGTGACCATTGTTTGGTCGTATGTATCCCTTGACCCATTCCCCCACACGCGCGCACACATGCACGCGTGTGTCACTGTGTATATATACTCAGGTTTGGAGGATAATGATACTGCAGTTCTGTTTACTTGTTGTGTCCAAATGTCAAAACCTCTCAAGTTTCTTCTTTGGTCATCTCTTGCTCTGTTGCTTCTTCAGATAGGTAACTTCAAAGCTTTCATTGTAATTAATATATAATAGACATCTGAATGGGGGTTGTATGTATATGTATTAGGTTGTGGGCTAAAATGTGAGAGCAGAAGCAGCGAACCAACGGTGAAGCAGACGCAGGTGAAGTGGAGACAAGGACTTCAGTTCAGAGTTGAGGTAATGAACAAATGTCTAATGTGCCCAGTCATCAACCTTCGTCTGAAATGTCAAGGATTTCCTCAGTCGCTTGTGGACCCCACACTCCTCCGTGTCCTCTCCACTTCCGCTGGAAACTGCGTAGTTAACGACGGCTTGCCCTTGAGTCCAATGCAAACTCTCTCTTTCAACTACTCCAACTCACACCAGTTTGCTCTGCGTCCTCTTGCTTGGTCTTTTCAGTGCGAGTAAATCAATAAAATAGTGAAATCAATAAAACAGATCTGTTTGTTTCTTCATCAATCTGCTTCTTCTTCTTCTTTTCTTTTTTTCATTTGTATTATCTATATATTCAGACCATTTTTACCAGATGGGCAAAATGTTAAATCTATGTACAAAAGATAAAACTATTAAGGAGTCTCTAAAGAAGGAAAAGATTCATGAGGAGAAGTAAAGAAATTAAAAGCAAAGAGGTATCTAAAGGTAGTGCAGAAGAGATAAAATGTGAGCCTACTAGATGAACTGTTCCTGTTCCTTCATCTTTTACTTTTATGCTTGATGAGCCTGCAAAGAGATATTACAAAGATAAAAAATTATTCAATATCGAAATCTTTCCCAGTCACAATGAGACATGAATGTTTATATTGTTTTAGAGCTTATGATACATAGCACTTACAGTTGTATTCAGTCCATCCAATGAGCTGATTCTCGAGATCGTAGAGAACAAGCTTGTTTGAAAGCACCAGATCTGCAAAAAGAGTATGTAAGATATTGTGGGCATTGGATTGCATCACAAAGGGCTCATTGTCACTGAGAGCAAGAGGACAAAATGGGATTTTTCCACAAACTGGATTGCAATAAAACTTAGTAACTTTGTCATGCTTTTGTAAATAAGGTTACAAACTATGAATCCAAATAAGGTACCTCCCAAAAGTGTCATGTTTCTCCTATCTCTGGATTGCATTGCGCTATTTTGCCAACCAATGCACCACATTCCTTCCTGTAAAAATTTGGTTTTATGAGTTCGGGGTGAAATGGATAGCAAGGTTACAACACAAAGAAGAGCAAAAAAACAACGAGAGAGGCTGAAGATGCTTACATAAGGGAACAGGTAGTCGTGAGGGTAAACCCTGAGGAAAACAGAGTTCTCGAAATGAAAAGTGACATTCGGAAACCCCTCATCAACTCTGCAGCAAAGGTAAGATATGGTTCCATAAGAAAACAATTGTGTGATACGTTGACATCACAACAAGCAGTTATGTAAACCATCCACATTGATGTCCAAAGATATTCTTGGTAGAGCATATTGAAAATTTCGCAAAATTAATCATAAAATCAAGACGTATGACTAACCTTCCAGAGTACTGAAAGCATTTATAATCTTTATCCACAATGTGAACTTTCAGAGCAGGCTCCTGCGAGGTTATCTAACAAACGAACAAGAATTCTGAGATTAACGCTGCAGTTTAAACTTCTTTAAGAACTGGAAATTTTCATGCAGTGTACCTTCTTCACCAATGGTTCATAGATTATTTCTGGAAGATAGGCCAAGGTTGTACCACTGTCAATTATCGCTCCTTTTCTATCTGCTGGTTGAAATAGATCAGCTGGAATATTAAGAAATTCCTGACCAACTTGAACTGCTGTCATATTGACATTGTAATGTGGTCTACAATTAAAAAAAAAATAGTCTGTTAACAAAATGATCTAGAGAAAGAATATATTCACCACTTCAGAAGAAGCTTTAAAGCTAAGCACACTAATTTTATTTTCCTCCTCTAAACTAGAACGTTCACTCTACTATATGTAAAGTAAAAAGTTCCAGCTATTCCAGTGTACTTGAAAGAGCATTGAAACTCGGTGTGCGAGCGTATAATATTAGTCTAAATCAGGACTATAACAGGAATAATATGGTGGCTGCATCTACTGATATCTCATTGAGCTTCTTACCTAAATGGAAGGTAATGATTGTATTTAAAACATATGATTGCATAAACAAGAAAAGGTAAAACATTTTAAAGGGAAATAAATGTTGACATACTGATTAGGTACCAATGGTGTCATGTTTACTTTTGGTTGTACAACACGTCCGATAGCAAATATACCACCTCCATTTCTTCCATCTAAGCAATGAGCAAATATCTTTTTCACTCTTCCTGATGAAGCTAGCTGGGAAATCATGGAGGAATTAGCTTTCCCAAATCCAAGTATTCCATCAAGTGCTTCTTCATTAGACGAGTCCAGATCTCCTGACTGCCTAGCACCACACCTTCAAGATCATATAAAAGCATTAGGAAATGGAAGAGGAAATGAGGAATGAAGGATTAAGCTTCCTTCTCATAGGAATGATTAAAAACGTTTTAATGGACAGCTAGTCTACTCATTTTACAGATCCCTGAGGGGTTTTAAAAGTGACCAGCAATTCTCAGGCCAGGAGACAAAACTAAATTATAAATACGGTATTTCTAAATTATCAAGTTTCCCAACGTGTAGATGCATATGAGATAAATGAAATGAGCTGTGCTCGGAAAGATAGCTTAGAAAACTAATCAGTTGTCACAATCAAAAGCAAAATATATTTCAGTATAGGCATATGGTGTATTTGTGATATTCATTATGGTGGAGAACTTATTCACATTTACTTTAAAAAAAAAAAAAAGGAATAGATGCCAGAGTACACTTTAACCTCTTTCAGAATCTCAAAAAATTTCCTTTAAGCAAGTTTTATCTGTTTGGCTAGAAGAACTGTTTTCAATTAAGCTTTAAGCAAGGTGAAATTGTGTTCTTTTTTGTCTGTGAGAACAGAAAGAAGATCTAACAGAGCTGCAAGTTCCATGGTGCAACAGTTTACTAGTTTAGATAATAAAAAGTGACTAACCCAAAAATGACACTCCCGTTAGCTGTTTTAGTCTTGAGATCACCAGCTACACTGTCATATTGAACAACATCTTTGACAAAATAACCTGCAGTAGAGCTACCATCTCCATATATCTCAAGATAAGGACAAGACATATTAGCTTTGCAGCCTGAGAGAGGACCACCACTAATCTGGTAGCAAAAATCATCATCACAAGAGACATATTTTCCACTGTCTGATTCGTCTATGTTGTAGAGCGTCAGCTCAATCTACAATAAATGGTGAAAACAAAAATTAAACCCATTGAGTTGGAGCAATGAAAGGAAAATAGAGATTGAAAAAAAAAAAAAAGAGGCTTACACCGAGAGAGCTTCGTGTAGGACACTGTTTGCACTGGATGCAGTTAACCCACATGAGATCGCTGCCTGTGTCGACTTGAACATAATAGCTCTTTGCAGGTGTTCCAATTCCAATTTTTGCATAGTAAAGCCTGAGAGAGGGAGCACATCAGAGATCAATAAATGTCTGAATTTCCCAAACTGCAAGTAATTTATAAAAATTGCAACTTTAAGAAACCGCAACAATGACGAGATTCCATAAAAACATGTCGAGAACACCAGTGAGAGAGATCAGACGACTGAAAAGAAAAAGAAAAAAAAGGAAAAAGTTAGTCCTAAGGAGTGAATCTGAAACTCACCCGGGGATATCAGGGCGACCAGTACCACCCAGAGGTAGATCGATTCCAGCAAGAATTGTGAGCTGGCGCCGGTCATCGTGCTCCTTTAAGGCGCTAAGAGACCCTTGAAGCCTTGGGTAACGGTACTTCACATTGAACACTCCCGGATTACAAGACACGCTAACGACGGCAGTGAGAAGAAACCAAATCAGCGTGAATCTTGCGCGGATGGGGGAAGAGACGATTGATGAGGTCATCTTCCTGATTTTATGGCGTCAGTCGTCTCGGCGGAGGAGCTGAGAGAAACCACCGGACCGGCGACGACGACGACGACGACGACGAGGAAGTTAGAGAAAATTTTCAGAGTTTGTTTGTTGGTTTGGTCCGTTCCACCTAATATTATTTTATTTGATTTATTGTTTAATTTCCTGCGTGGACTTTTCAATTTCCATTTTTCTATTTTCCCTCGAACTTTGTATTTTCAGGTAAGTTTCGGTGTTACTGACGTATCCAACTCAGATCCTACTGTCTGTATGTATTATCTCTTTTGGTCGTTTCAACTTGTAACCAAAATATTTATTTTTCACTTCCATTACTTTAACGAAATTTATTTAGTTGATTTTAGAGGACTCTTTTCCATTATTCATGTTAACCAGTGTGAATTATATATGTTCTACTCAACACATTGTGAACAAATTTATAAAATAAACCGAGTAGATAGAAGAAACAAATCATCATCATTCGCAAACCACAATTATGTTTCCTTGCTTTTTCTATTTTACACACATTCCGCAAATACAAATAATTAAATATCTGGTTTTTTACATACAGAAAAATACATAAAATTTTGTTTGCATAAGTTCTAGAGAGGACAAAAACACACATTTTTTTTTTATAACCACAAGCAATTTCACTTATTACGTAACATTTCTCCAGTGAAGCAAGGGAGACTTGATAACAATAGTGCCTTACGAAGATGAAGAGGTAGGTACAGTCGAAGGGTTGAAAGGTTTCTGCTCAGCGCAACTGAGCTCTTCGTTTGGCCCTGCGTCTTCTCTTCCAATACCCAAGAGGTCGAGGAAGTATAAGTAGTGTGAGACTATGTTGTTCATTGGGTCTATGTCCCCTTGACCACATGTGTACTCTCCGTACAAGACATTCATGGTGCTGCCAAAAGTCGGGCCACGTTTGGACAAAGTATCGTTCTTTGTGGGTTTCCAGTTTCCGACCAAGATGTCGTGAGCCGAGGGTTGGTTTTTCTTGATTGGTGTCATCCATCTCCAGATTGCAGCTTGGAAGGCAAGTGTTGCGTTCTGCTCGATGTACTCAGGGTGGTTCAAGAGATCAGCTTTCAGGGCTTCTCCCGCTGCACCGTAGTTGAAGTTCCTTCAAATATGCAAAGATTATATATACCTTAGCATATGATGATCCTTTAAATTAAGAAAGTATGAATGCAAATTCTATGATTCCACAGTTTTCATCTATAAGTAGAAGAGAAATGTGTACCAGTAGATGGGTAAGGCACCACGTCCGTAGTATTCAGCTCCAGGGCTGCAAGGGTACTTGAATTTCCAGGACTCGTCACAGTATGATTGCATTGGGCTCATTTCCCTGTTATAGCACAGACCCCAAGCTAAAGGCCCTCCTGTTGCAACTCCGTAACCACCTATAAAAGACATCACAGTAACTGTCATGCTGATGCAAAGCTTCTTACAACATCGAAACCAGTAACAACGACCAAGGGAATGTCCATTTTCATGATTTCTGAATGCTCAGATTAATAAGATGACAAAGCTATGGAGCTTCTTAGCTTAAAGCAAACATTCAAACTATTCACACCAGCTTCACAAAATGTTTCAGTATGGGAGCTATCTAGTATATTATATGCTTAAGAGACAGAAGTAAAGAGAAGAAAACTTACAGGAGGTTTTGCTGGCGACATGACCGAGAAAGGCAGCCATTTCTTTCTGTCCCATGAGCTTTCCTCCGGTGGTACCAAACCCAAGAGGCTCATAGAGGGCAGCAGCAGTGATGAAGGACTGGTAGTCCCAGAAACCAACAGCGTGAGCTACGGGGGTGTTTCTTTTGGAAAAGAGCTGCTCAAACTGATAAACCTGAAAGTAATCTGATATAGTCTGGTTACAGCAGTACTTGGACCACCAGGAGCATTCCCATCCCTGCGTGCACACCTTCTCTCCTCTCACTTTCTTCACTTTAATCGTTTTGTCCTCTCCATTAGCAACCAATGCCAGGAATGACACAGCCAACAGAACCAGAATCACAATGGAACCACTCCGGATTGTCACCATAGCTTACAACTATGGAGCAAATACCAGCTACAAAGCTGCAAACATCAACAACAAAAACAAATTTAGAAACGTTAATTTTGACTAGTAGCTAAATATTACTTCTGAAACATACTATCAAAACCCCTCATTAGTAAAAAAAAACAGGAGACATTAAGACAAACTAAATACAATACAGATCTAAGAAGAACTTATTAAATTCAAAAGATCAAATCCGACAAGACAAAAACTGATTAGAACCAACAAAGGAAGAATTAAACTTCAGCAGGAAAGCAAAAAATATGAAGTTCTCTACTAAAAATAAAATTAAAAAACTAAGAAATCCCCAGTAATAGCTGATAGATTGACCGATATCATACCAAATTGGAGAGATTGATGTATAAGCTTAATAAAATCTAGAATTTGTGAAGACTTCAAAACGTGAATGCAGATCAGAGATTGTGACCAAGTAATTGTGGAGAAATCGCTTACCCCACAATGCAGATCAGCTACAGATCCAGAGAGAGAGAATACTAGCTGTGATGATTCAGCCGACAAAAACCACCCTTTTGCTTCGTTGCCGAGAAAATAAGAGATTCTCGGGAAAGAGAGGAAGAAGAAACACTAAACTAAAGCGGGTGACGGATCAGCAGTCTCTATCAACCGTTAGATCAGAAAACAATCAACGGCAAAGATTGCGTTTGGTGTAATGTATGTGTCGGTTTGAGAGGACAGGCTGGTTCGTGTTATGGGCCCTACTTTACTGAAGTGGAGCCTTCCACCGACAGCCGCACCACCACCAGACCAGACCAGACCTGACTTTAACCAACCGGTTTAATTCCATTTTCGACCAAACAAACAACTTTGATTCTTCTGGATATTTTCGCTTCATGTAATGACCCAATGGGCTTTTTAGTTAGGCCCTCTGTATTATATCTACTATGGCTTAAAGCCTTCAACAAACTAATCGAGACAGTTTTGCCATAGTTTCCACTTTCCTCTCTCGTCTCTCGTCTCTCGTCTCTCTCTCCTCACGCCACTCTAATTCTCTCGTTGTTCTCAAACAGTAACAATGGCGTCATCTTCAAAGCAAAATCCTTCTTCTTCAAAACCCCCAAGGCATCCATCTCCCATCAAGGCCTCACTTCCCACGAAATCCGGTGTACCGGAAGAATCCCAATTTCGAAACCCTAATAACCCGTCGACGTCGTCTAGTTCACCGATTTCGATGGCGGTGGAGGATCAGGTCCTGGGGCGTTCCACTCACCTCACCCGCCCGGAGCTTCTCCGACGCAGATCGCACAATTTGAAGCAGCTGGCCAGATGCTATAGAGACCATTACTGGGCTCTAATGGAGGATCTCAAGGCGCAACACAGATATTATAGCTGGAACTATGGTGTTAGTCCTTTCAAAGATGAGAGTCATCAGAAAAACAAGAGACGTAAGGTAGAAGGACAGACTGGGGATGAGATCGAAGGTAGCGGAGACAATGATAATAACAACAATGATGGCGTTAAGGCTGGTAACTGTGTGGCTTGTGGTAATGGTTGCAAATCCAAGGCCATGGCACTCACCAATTACTGTCAGCTTCATATTCTCATGGATAAAAAGCAGAAGCTTTACACCTCTTGTACTTACGTCAACAAAAGGTTCTTTCACCAAATTTTTGTGTTTCATTTAGTTTTTAACTTTTGATTCGCATTCTTGCTAGTTGCTAGTATGTGGCTGTTTCGAATTAGGAAATATTAGGTGCTTCCATAAATGCTATTATGTTTTCGTCTTATGCTGTGAAATCTAGTTCTTTGATACTGGTTTTGGTTTGGTGGTGAGGTACTTTCAGTACCTCGCATTGTTTCTTGTTTGCATTGTAATTGGCTAAGAAGATCAAAGTTAGGATTGTCTGCATTAGTATATCTTCATGAAGTTCTTACTGTGATGGTCGTAGCTGTTATGGAAAATTGGTAATACAACATGGCGCATATGATATGTTCTCTGTTATGTCATTCGTGTTTTTATATCCCTGATTGGAAAGAGATTAAATTTTTGCATTCTCAAGAGCAACTAGCATGTGATGGTTATATAATCAGCTCTATTTTTTTTTATTTTTTTTTAACTTTTATATTTCCAATCAGCTCTATTCTGACTCTGTGTGGTTATTGGTGTTCATGCAGAGCTCAGTCAAAAGCAATAACTTGTCCAAAACCAACACTTGCATCAACTGTTCCTGCCCTGTGTAACGTGCACTTCCAGAAAGCCCAAAAGGATGTTGCTCGTGCGTTGAAGGATGCTGGTCATAACGTTTCTTCAGCAAACAAGCCTCCCCCGAAACTACATGACATAATAGCCGCATTTGTGCATCATATTCAAATAAAAAGAAAGGCTCCACGAAAAGAGGCCAAATTGAAAAGCTCAGTGAAAGAAGAAATTACAAGCTAAATCAGACAGTTATAGTGAACAGAAGCTGTTTGTTTCCATAATTGTGCAAAATGGAAGGTAAGATAACTGGTTTCCTATATGTGAAAAAGACAGGTAGCTGATCCTGACTGGATATAGATAGGGTAGTCATTTATGCCCGGTAATGAAGAAAGTGTATTTTTTATACAAGTGTTGTAGATCTTGGTCAAACAGATTTTAAATGACTAGCTTCTAAGTGTTGCCACGTGGTTTTCGTTCTATTTACGTGAATGAATTCTACTATAGCCGAGTAGACTTATATGCTAACATACAACAGGTTCTGTGATCTTTGGTTTTGTCCAATGTTGTCTTGATGAGTGTGGATTAGGTAGACTTAACCCAATACTTTTGTTAAGCGTTAAACCAAGCTACATATATAATATTAGGTCTGTATCCAAGCAGTTTATGTACCTGCATACCATTTGACCTTGCTTCTCCAATGACATTGACAGATTGAGCTGTGAGTGCCAAGGTTACAACTTGCAAGGAGCTTTAGTTAACTGGAGAGCAACATTGACACAATGGTTCAGATTAAGCGTTTAGATTGAAATGAGGATATCTAAGCACTATGATAATACCATTATCTAAGTTCTATAGTAGAATTCCCAAATCATTTAGCTACTGGTAGCTTTCATGGCTAAGTGAAAAAAAGATGTTTCTTTGGGTAGTTGCTGTTGTGACCTTTCACCTTTCAGTACTCCTTAATCTAAATCGATTTGTTCTTGCAGTGTTCTCTCAATTTAAGACTTGATTTGTTTGCAAAACTCCTTTGTTTCCGATTTTTGTGAGAAGACGTAATTGAGCAAGTACATAAAACTTATAAGTTGATTTTAGAACAACTGTACAATACATTTCACCACTTTCATTAGGCGGCTATGTATTTGAATTGCTTTGGTACTCTGAAGACTCTGCTTGTTGTGAGGGTTCCGTAACATTTGTTAAATCTGCACAGCATCTTCATCTATTTTCTTCTCGTTCCCTCCCATTCTATTCTTCATACATGATTAAGGAGCATCACCAAATTGGGCAAATTAGCCATAAGAGTGTAAGCTCCAACACACATTCACAAAAGTGGAACGAGTCAAGAGTGTCAGAGGAGAGCAGTAATGTCAGTACCTTCATAAAGAGGGTCGTAGATCCAGTTACAAAGTAAAGACTAGTTACCTCAGTAAGTTGAGGTCCATATAACCAGTAAGTGAGAGCTCTCATAAAGACGAGTCTCTTACCACTGCACAAGGACAACAATCTAGCATTCATCTCTCACATGTAGCTTCATCACGAGGATAATCATAATGCATCAGTGTCAGTTAATAGGCACGGTTAGATTGGTTACCTCTGCAGAATCAAGAGCAGTCAAGTTAGGGCGAAGGCTCTCACTAGTCAGTACTGCATAAGGAGAAGAATCCAGCAATTAAGAAATCAGATGTTAGAGTTGCAGAAGGTGAGGCCAGCAGGGTAATGAGAAAGAATATGATGCTTTTTTATTCATGAATACCACATTTATTTTCCGTTGATAAATCATTAGACTATTAACTGAGAGAGAGATACATGGAATTAAGTAAAAATCATTGTCGGTGTTCAGTTAAATATCAGACCTTTCCAGTTCTGAGATCTCCTCCCCAGCAAAACAATGGGCGACATATATTGTTCATGTAAGAACATCTTCACAAGAATTTCTCAGCTGCACAATTGGACAGTACAGGCAACGGCTTGAGCCCAGTATTTGAGCCTAGCTTTCACGTCATCAGGATTATCACCTAAAACAACAACAACAACAAAATGAAAACATTCAGACTTCTTCATATCCGAAACCTAATAAGAGTCAGGTTCGAGGCTTATGTAACAACAAGAAGGGGAATGTTGCACAACCTAATAAGTGTTAGTTCTCACAACCTAACACTAGAATTACCCAAAATCAAATCAAAGATGACCGAGGATGAGACAAAATACCAGGGCTAGAGATTTTCCAATTGGCAATCGGAGCAGCGGCGGACGGAGAATCTTCCGGTGACCTAAGCTTATCGTCTAAGAACTTCTGGCTCATGGAATAGCAAAGCTCAAGAGCAGGCAAAGTGTTGCAGAGCTCGGGGATCTCGTCGTAGCTGAAACCAAACCCTAGATCTAAACAACCCTTGAGATCTTCGAGATCGTCGTCCGTCAAACTCTTGGATCTAGTGAGATCGTCTTTTTGATCATCGTCGGTGGAACAGGAAGCAGTAGTAGTCTCGACGTAACCTTCGAGCAACACCAGGCTCTTCTTCCTCTCCAGCTTCTTCCGGCTACCTTGGCCGGATCTGCGGGTCGAGACCTCTACCCAGGCTTCATTGATTCCCGAATCATCAGCGTAGTCGAAGTATTGCCGTGGATCTGATGATGAGCAGAGAACAGAATCCATCACTCACTCTTTCTTCTTCTGGATCTTCTTCTTTTCTCTGTTGCTCAGTTTTCTTAATGTGATTGGAAACAACTGTGGTCGGGAGAAAAACATAAGAGTCTGATTTGTTTACTTATAAAAGCCCGTGAATGTATGTATGTATGTATGATTGATGGTAATCATGTTTGATGATGATGATGATGTCATGTCTTCTCGCGTGACTAACTAACGTCTTTTCAAAAAGATTGTGGGCCTTGACCATTCTTAAAAACGCAATGATGAAAATATTTGAAAATTAAATTAAATGGCTAATCTATGATTCTATATAATTAAATATGATAATACAATACCTATGATTCATCCATATCTTGCTCTTATTACGATTAAAACTGTAACTGTATTTTGTACAGTACGTTGATGTGCCTCGAATACATTGTTATAACTAATAAGGGTGCAACAATAGTGATATCCAACTCTAATCGTATATATGGGAATGGGATGATGAATTTTGAGGTATGATAAAGATGTAATATGTCAATGTGGAGATGGGAGTATTCTAGAAAACTATCACAATCTACTGTACGTAGATGGGAGTATTATGGATGTGAAAACATTGTCATTGTAACGAGAGACTTTTTTTGTTGTGGCCACACAGGACAGTTGGTCTTGGTGATCGAGGGGGAACGTGGCGAGTAACGAATGGAGAGAAGATGGGAAAGTTGAAAGGTTGCATATATAGAAGGCCAACAAAGCCACGTTGTCGCCTCAATAAATTTTTTTTAAGTGGGAGGAGAAATTTACAACGTCGCACTCATTATTATTGTTGAGCTTAGGCAAGCTCCCATTACATTTTAACATTTATATGGTCACCATGAATTGAAATCCTTGGCCCCTATTGGAAACAACCCTTTTTTACATATATATATATATTTATGTATATCCCTTTTTCCATGCAAAAATAAATACTGCACTCGTGGTGCGAGCCACCACGGGAACACTCGTGGGAACCACATAATCTAACGCTTTCGGCTTTTTCTTCCCTTTAGTTTTAGCCCCTCAAATGTTACACACACACGTCACTTTTGTGACAACTAACTACTACATATATACAGACCACAACACACTTGATAATAGACAAAATACTAAAGATTTATGATAATAGCCTTAAGTCCGACGAACTACTATTCCATTTGATGTTTGTTTTTATCTCTACTTGTAGAATATTCCGTGCAGCTAGGCATAATGGATGATCTCTTATTCTCTTCAACTTTACAGACGGACTCTTCTTGATATTAGTTGAAAATGTTGGAGTTGACTGACTCTTCTAATTGTTAAGTCATACGACGACGCGACGATCTCCATTTTGGTTTACAACTGATGGTATATATGTATGTAGTTTCCTTTGATTTTTCTTTTCTTTTCTTTTCTTTCCTTCAAGTCTCTTTCTTCAAAGGAAATTAGTGGACGACTTACAATAATTCCAAATTTTGCATACCTGGTCAACAATATATCTACATGTCTTTTGACTTTTCCAATACTTTTAATCTGTATATGGTTTATCTTGAAAGTTATTATGTGACTTTACTATGTTCAAGCGTGTACGAACTATATACGTCATTAATGTAAAATGATACAATCAACAATCAGCAGTACTAATAAAGCGAACAATTCCACATTCAATTTAAATATTTATATTCATATAACATAAAAATTAAATTATATTTCTTATATCAACCATCTCGATGTTTTTTAAAAAAATAGCCGAGCGGTCTTTGGTAAACTCTTTGTTTAAGTCAAGTAGGACAAGTGTAGGCTTCTCATTTGAATGTTAAACTATAAATACATTATAAATCTAAACAGATTAGGGTCAACGATGACTTGTCACAAAAGCAAAAAATGCGAAATTGCTAACCCTTTTCTCAGATTTATATATATACAGTATATAACGTCAAAGACATGGTCTTCTTCTTCTTTATAGTTGAATTCTATATATATTAAAAAGGGGAAAACGTCGTGAATACTTCTCTTCTCTCAATTGTATTCTCTCGTACGTATATATGGATATATATTCCGTGGTGAAAAGTCTTGGTGAGCTCGAAATCCGATCTTCAGAAGATGGTCAGACGACCGAAGAAATATCTGTCCAACGTCGTTATGCAACTGTTCTGACAGATGAAGATATTCTAAAGCTTATGGAAATTGACATTCAGAGTGTTTCAGAGCTTGCTTTCCTCTCCAAAGCCGACGCCACACTTTTGCTTTCTCATTTGAGCTGGTAATATTATTTGCTCTAAGATTCGTATTCTATTATTCTACAAGCAAAACCCTTTTCTTGATCTCTCTGTTTCTTTTGTTTTATCTACTTAGGGATGTTAATGATATTTGTGAACAATGGTGTGCTGATACCGAAAAGGTTAGAGAATCCGTCGGCTTATTGGAGCTTGACCCACCTTCATCTGATGACAGTGAAGTAATGAATAATCTTTGAGTTTAAGTTTTGTTTTTAAAAAAAAATTCTACTTAAGTTTTTAACTTACTTTTGTTCCCAACTCTAAGTAATTAACACAAGATCCCTTTATAGTTCTTTTGCCGAGTCTGTGGCGAATCACACCCACATGAGAACTTTGCATCGGTCTCTTGTGGCCATCGTATATGCACTGGTTGCTGGAAAAGTAAGTATATATCTCGTTTGACTCAAATTATTTCGTAATTCATTGACGACCTGATCATATTTATATCGATGACATGTAAATTATAGGCCATATCAACAAAATCATCATTCAAAGTCCAGCTGCTGAATTGAATCTTAGGCTGAAATGTCCAGTTCGTGTTGGTCTCTACGCTTCTTGTACTGCTTCTGTTGGTCAAGATGTGATTGAGAGATTTGCTTCCGAGCAAGAGAAGTCCATGTACGATCAACATCTCCTTAGATCTTACGTTGACAGCAGCAAAACGGTGATAAATAAATAAAAATACACTCTAAGAAAACAACCTTAGATCACTATGAACCATGTGTTTCTCATTTATAAGGTTTTACTTACCTTTTTATATTTCTTCTTTTGCTGGTATTAGATGAAATGGCATCTTATCCAGGGGGCTAGTTGCGCCATTGAATTTGGTCCCGATTCTGAAAATTCCAGTGTCTCCTGTCTCCGTTTTCTTAGACTCTGTTGGAATGTGAGTTCTTAAAGCTTGAATCCTTTTGTCTCTAAACCAGTTTCTATCACTGTATATTGAGTCTTAGCTTCAGTGCAGGGAGGATGCTCACAGTCCTGTGGACTGTACAACTGCTGCAAATTGGTTAGCAACACACGTTTCTGATCATTTTTTTTTTAAAAAAATAGACAAAGATTCGGTCTACTTCCCATGTACGGAATGGTTTAGTCTTATTTGTATTTATGATTTTAGGGTACAAGAAATTACGGTGCCTTGTCCTAAGTGTCAAGTAAGGGTCCAACGAAATCAAGATAATGCTCTGAAGATGAAATGTTTACCTTGTAACTATGAATTCTGTTGGTAATGTACACTTAATTATGCTTCTATTATTTCTTGTCGTGTGGTTAATTATTGTGATAATACTATTAAGTTCTTTCATGAAATTGCTCTGCATGCAGGTGCTGCCATGCCGACTGGATTGTACATGGGGAAGACGATTTAGACTTCTATGCTTTCTCGGTACTGTATCTAATATAGAAGAGTTTCATGGTTTTCCTCTATCAGCCAATATTGTATTAACCTTTCTGATGTTTTGTAGAGTGATCAAAGTGGGGAAATGGCTGCAGATAGTAGATACAAAGAATGTTATGAAAATTGGAAGAGTAGTGAATTGGTATATATGAGCTTCAAATCCATTATTCACTTGTGAAAAATATGCACTGATTTGTTTTGAGTTGGTTTTGGGCAGTTGATGGTAAAAGCAGAAGCAAACTTACAGAAACTAAACACTATTGTAAGAGAGTTCTATTATGTTGTCTTCTTATTATTGTTCTGTTTTAGTATCTGTAGATTAAAGTTGAGAGTTGAGACTAGTGCTTCTCTTCTTTTATTTTAATCTCTTTTTTCCAGGTTGAGGATCTAAGTAACTCACAGTTACCAACCAAACCGCAGCTTAAGTTCATTTTAGAAGCCGGACTTCAGGTTCGCAAAAGTGAAACCAGTGCGAGAAATCTATGTATAAGATGTTTTGGTTTCCGACATAACTTTACATGTCATACAGATAATAGAATGTACAAGGTTCCTGAAATGGACTTATGTTTATGGATATTATCTTGGAGAGGATGAGGTTGGGAAGCAAAATATACTAGAGCAAATGCAAGGTCTGTAATTTTCGTGTGCAAATGCGTATTGATAAGTTTCGGTTTCTTTTGAAACTGATGCATTATAAACTAAATAGTTTTCCTTTGTCGCTCAGAGGATGTAAAGTCGGTTCTTCTGGACAAGCTCGATGACTGTCTAAAGACTGACCTATCGCAGTTACTTGACGGGGAGAGACCAACAGAGTGTTTCAATCGCTTCCGCATCAAGTTAACCGAACTAACTAGGTTTTACTCAAATTATCTGCCCTTGTTGTGTATTCCCTTGTTTATTGTGTTTTAAGCAAGATCCAACAGTTAAAACCCTAAACTTAGTTCACTTTTTTTTTGTTGGCTTCGTAACAGCATAGCACGAACACACTGCGAGAATCTGATAGGAGTCATAGAGAATGGCTTAGCTAGTGACTAGCTAGTGGTGTCTCTGCTTCAGAACGGAAGCTAGTGGTCCGGGCCATATACATGACGATTGATGGAGGCTAATAGATGATTTCCAGTTTATTAACACAATTTCATTAATTTTATTACCGATAAGTTTATTTGGATATTGCAGTTCAGGCTGGAATTTTTTATATATATTAAACGAGATTGTTGTTTCCGTATCACACGGGGGGTTGTTTACCATAATGTTTTTAAACATTTTGTAACACACAAATCCGTCACATCTACCACTAATATTAAACATGATAAAAATACCAAAGGCAACACGTAACTATTTAGTCGTATTCAATAAAAGTGGGTTACTAATCAATTCACTTCTATAGCTGAAACCCATATTAATTCTACGTGAACGCATTCTTTCTCGCGCTTGTCGGTTCAATATTGGCTTCATGAGTGTACTAATTAACTTGTACGATTTCAATCTTATTTGCTGTTTCGAGGAAGAAGAGAATCAGCCAAAGACGTTTCGTGTTCACAAATCGTAGACAACAACCGACGTTATTATTAATGTCTTAAAGAAAGTTGCAGCTTAACAACGTAACATTGATTTTTCCTATAGATTTACATTTAACCCTGTGTAATGATTTTGTCTTCTTCTTTACATTACTATCATTAAAGACTGCCTATAATAGATACGTGGATGATCATTCTCACCAAAGAAAATGTCAAAAAATTTGTGTTAAAAAAAAAAAAGAGGGGGAAATTTTCCATTTTTAAAAGAATCAATTATACACTTTGATTAAGGAAAAAGGACTAATTAGAAGTAGTATTTAACTTTTCCTTTTCTTCTTCTCGTCTTGGGTACTAAAACTCAAGTTAAGCTATCTTCTTGTCAAAGTCCATATATCTAATCTTTTCGGATTCTGAATCGCGAACCCAGCGAAGCTACCAATTTCTCGATCAAACTATCCGAGCTCCGATTCCTTATAAAAGATAAAGCCAGAACCTTTATTTGCTTTGTGATCCTCTCTCTCTCTATCTCTGATAAAGCCAGGACCTTTATTTGCTTTATTGAAACCCCAAACCCTACTTTGTCCAGCGAGAGAGAAAGAGGGTTTCGTCTGATTCCGCTAAATTTCGAGTCTTTATTTAAAGGAGGCTCTCATCATGGATTCTGAAGATGATATGCTCGATGCCCACGATATGGATTCGGGGGATGATGATTTTTACAGCGGCGGGACCGATGACGATAGTGATGATGATGGTCAAGCTTTCGAAGGGTTCGCTGAGGAAGACGGGGACGATTCCACCTTGTTCACCTCGCGTCGCTCTCAGGTGAATTCAACTTCTTCTTACTTGTAGCTTGTCATGTGTTTCTTGCTTTTGTGTTTAGGGTAATTGCTCTACGGCTCTTTGTTGATTAAGCAATTGATGATTGTTAAAGTTTCAATTTTTTTTTTCTTCTTTTGCTGTTTTGAATGCTTTCTAAGCTTTAGTAGGTTAGTTTTCCCATTATTGTGAGTACTGAGCTTTACGAAGTTTTTTTTGCTTAGACTTTTGCTTTGTTCATGCAATGCCTAGTCTTCTAAGTGATGGAAAGGTAGAAAAAAGGAAATTTTGATTTCTAGATGTAAAATTGATTGTTATCCTAGTGTAGTAGCTTGATGGAAATACAGTTATCGGTATCTTCTTTTTGTACTTTTATCTTGGTTCCAAGCTCATTGTTGCATCCTTGTGTTTCCGGTAACACCAAGGATTCTTGCAAAGGATCAGTATATATTTACCAATGCTTTTTAACTGTTTGTTTATATCGTATTGTTTATATTGCTGATAAAGAGAGGAATTCGTTAGTCTGAAGTAGACATTTTTCTTGAAAATTGGGTTTCATGTTGTGTATATCGTTGATTACATGTTCTTTAGTCCACTCCTTGGCTATAGCTGTTATGTTTCTCTCAAAATACTCAGTTAACTATTTATTTGGCTGACTTTCTTATACCTTTACTGGTGGAGTTGTGGCATGCCTGAAAGTGCTCTACCTTATTGTTTTAATTTCACATCTGCTCGTATTTTACTATGACTTAGTGTTGCTGTTGTAATGATGTCTGCTTCCAGATAAATTATGTTGTTCTTAAGGAAGAAGATATTCACAGGCGTCAGAAGGATGATATTGGACGAGTTTCCATGGTCCTCTCCATAAGTCATGTCGAAGCGAGCATTTTGCTTCTTCACTATCACTGGTAAATTCACTTGACATTTACTGGGTGATTATGCTATAAATCTTGTTGTTTCCTGTGTTTGTTATATACAATATTGTTTATCCTTGAATTGTTTCAAAACAACATTTCTCTTCCATGAAATTGTTTTAATCTGCTTCATTAAATGACTCTTATAACTTTTTTTTGTGAACATTGATTGATGTCCACTAGTGGGCTTTCTCTAGTTTTCTAATGTTCTGAGAAATGTGTCATTTTAGGATTGTTAGTAAAGTTGACGATGAATGGTTTGCGGATGAAGGGAGAGTTCGGAGAACTGTTGGTATATTAGAGGGACCTGTTGTTCCAACACCTGATGGCAGAGAAGTAATTCCTTTCATTTTTCAACTCAGAATTGTTTTCTATAACTATCGCTTGGTAAATCATGTTTCACTGACGCATGATTTGATGTTTAGCTTAAATGTGGAATATGCTTTGAGTCCTACCCTCTTGAGGATATTGTTTCAGTTTCTTGTGGTCATCCTTTCTGCACTTCATGTTGGACGGGTAAGTTTTTTTTCTCTCTCCCTTATCTATAGATGCTTACATCTATAGCTTCAGAATCAGGGACTGTTGATTTGTTATTTTTCTTGTTAACATTTTGGTTACACAGTTTCAAATATATATACGTGTGAATTTAATTATTAAGTTTTAGTTTCTTCCATGCCTTTAATGCATGGATTTAAGTTTTATATACTGTCTTATGTTAAAACATCTCTTTTCTGATACATATCGTTTTATATTATGTACAATTATAGGTTATTTACACACCACCATCAGTGATGGCCCAGGATGTTTGATGCTAAAATGTCCTGAACCTGCTTGCCTTGCTGCTGTTGGTCAAGATATGTTCGATAAATTGTCTTCGAAGGAAGACAAGGAGAAGTATTATAGATACTTTCTTAGGTCTTATGTTGAAGACAACAGAAAGGTAAGACTTCCAAGAGAACATATATCAGTCTGTATATCTTCACTTAAGGAGCAGAACCTACCTGATGCTCTTTCGATCTGTGTATAAATTCATTGTTTATCCCCGTGTCCTCCCTATGATGCTTTAATTGACTTCAGTTTCCAGGAAACTTTTCTATGCCGTGAAGTGACTATTACAATCATAAATAAAAGCTATCTTTTTAGCACTAGTATTGATAGAAGTCCTCTCTGTCCCAGAGTTACCTAATTTTTCCTTTTAAAAATCTTGTATGGAATGGAGTCCAGCTTTTTTGATTAAATCAAAATCACAATAATCCCATCTTATTTTAAGGCATTTGCTTTGAGAAAAAACTATAGAGTTTGTCATCTATATTTGTGTTGATGATATGGGCATATCGTGCTTGTCTAGTTTTAATTTTGCTCCTATTGTTCTTTCTGCTTCAGATGAAGTGGTGTCCTGCCCCAGGATGTGAGCATGCAATCGATTTTGATGCCGGGTCTGGAAGTTATGATGTTTCGTGCTTTTGTTCACATAGCTTTTGCTGGAATGTAAGTACTTGGACTCAGAGCCCTCTTAATTAGCTTTCTCTTGATTATTTAGTCATTTTGGAACTGTGATAAATCTGAAATTCCAGTGCACTGAAGAGGCTCACCGTCCTGTGGATTGTGACACAGTTGCGAAATGGATACTAAAGAACAGCGCTGAATCTGAAAATATGAATTGGTATATGCTCTCTCATATTCTGGTTAATACTAATACATATCTTGTCGGCGATTGATTGCTACTGTAGCTATGTCATTTTTCACGCATCTTCCAGTTTATTATACTGCTTGCTAATCTTATTTTGCCTCCTCATCCCAGGATACTTGCCAATTCAAAGCCTTGTCCAAAGTGTAAGCGGCCAATTGAAAAGAATCATGGATGTATGCACATGACATGCACATCGCCTTGTAAATATGAGTTTTGTTGGTAATGCTTTCTCCCCATCTCTGAAGGTGTCTTTGTTTGGTTGTTACTCTCTCTCTGCAATGTTGGATTGCAAGCTTTTTACTGTCTGAGACCTTAGGATTTAATCTTGTAATAGAAACGCAAGATGTGGTAATGAACACATTTTTATTTGAATCCTTAGGCTTTGCCTTAATGCATGGACAGAGCACGGGGAAAGAACTGGTGGTTTTTATGCCTGCAACCGGTATGAGGCGGCTAGGCAAGAAGGATTGGTAAGACCTCCTGTACTTATTTGATCATCTGTGGAGGGATATTCTGGAATCAATTGAGTTGATGATTGTCAATATTGTTTTGCTGTTAAAATTTCCCTGTTTTAGTATGATGAGGCTGAAAAAAGGCGAGAGATGGCAAAAAATTCGCTAGAGAGATACACTCATTACTATGAACGCTGGGCAAGCAATCAACAGGTATTCTCAATTTATTTTGATTTCTTATGCCTTTTGTGTCTTTCCATCATATATATAATTACTTTTTCGAGTGATTTGGCAGTCGAGGCAAAAAGCTATGGGGGATCTGCAGAAAATGCAATCAGAGAGGGTGAGAATTATTAATCTTATTTTTCAGTTTTTTCTTTGTGATCTTTTATCTACCTAATGATAGTTAATTCTTCTTTGGAGTGGAGAATGATGTGAGCTAGTATCTAATCCCATTGCTTTTATTTGCAACAACAACACCAAATTGTATCTAAACTAAGTAGAGACTGCATTGTTGTTACTTTGTGTATTTTTTTTTGTTATCAATGTAATACTTTGTGTATTTTGATTTGCATCTCTGGTGCTTAAATAGAAATGAGCGTAAAGTTTTTGGCAGTTTCTCACATGCTGATGTCAAACTTTTCTCATTGTTCTGCTAGCTTGGGAGACTTAGTGACATACAGTGCACACCAGAATCTCAGCTCAAGTTTATTGCAGATGCGTGGCTCCAGGTTAGCTTCTAAAATCTTCAGAGAAATGTAGACCATGTCTCAGAATGTTCCTTCATATATGTTATACTTTTGCAGATTGTTGAATGTAGGCGGGTACTGAAATGGACGTATGCATATGGATATTATCTATCAGATCATGCTAAGCGGCAATTTTTCGAGTATTTGCAAGGTCAGAACTCTCATCTGTAGATTTAGCTGGAACAGTCCATTGTGTCAGTGAACCCTTGAAGTTGAAGTTTCTCTTGTTGATCTGATCAGGGGAGGCTGAGTCAGGTTTGGAGAGGCTCCACAAATGCGTAGAGAAGGAAATAGAGGTGTTTCAAACTGCTGAGGACCCTTCAAATGATTTCAATAATTTCCGGTCCAAATTAGTGGGTTTAACCAGGTAATTGTCTTGTTTACATCTATCCGGCTGTTTAGTACAGAACAAGAAAATACATTAGCTTTTCAGACAGATCAATATAGAATCCCTTTTGACTTTAAGATGAGTCTATTTAGTCGTAAGTTTTTACTATACTCAGATCCATTGTTGCATCTCAAGTCAGACTCTGTTGTAGACATGTAGATTTAGCTGTGAACTAGTTGAGACTTTGAACAACGATATGGAATGCTAACCCCAGTGGCTTCTATTGTATATTAACAGCATAACTAAAACCTACTTCGAAAATCTGGTGAAAGCTTTGGAGAATGGTCTTGCTGATGTGGATTCGCTAGCTGCTAGCAGCAAATCAACAAACTCTAAAGCTTCTAGCAAGACAAAAGGCGGTGGGAAAGGTAAAGGAAGCTCCAAAAATGGCGGGTCCAGCAGAAACCCAGATGACAACTGACATCTCTTTGGTCTCGCTTGTGTGCTGCCACCTCACAAAGGTCTTAGATTAATCAGAAGATTAAGAAAGACTTTTGTTCAGAAATTGGAGAAAGTTTTGGGGTTTACAATGCTTTCGAGTCTCTTGAGTTTAAAGACTATTAAGGGACAAGACTGCACTCTCAAGTGAACTCTGTCTCTCTGACTTAAGGGTATATGTTAGTTTTTACTTGCCCTAAATATTGTATAGGATAAAAGAATCTGCTCATTGTTATTGTTAGTTTGGCTTTTTTTACTTCGAACCAAACTCAATGTCTTCGAACCAAACTGAAGTCTCGTGTCTGAAAATTTCTCGAGGTCAAGAGCAAATGGAACCTCCTTAGTCAATTTCACCTAGTATGATCTTTTACATTAATTGGTTGTGCCTTGTAATATTGAATCCAAAACACCTCAACAACGTTAAAACCTCTGTTAATTGTTTTGTGGGTCAATTTTCAGTAACAAGCATTGAGATTATTGTTATACAATATTTAGAGAGTAAAACAACGACTCTGTAAACACTGAGATGAAGCTGAAGTTTACAATGGAATGATATCTTGGTTAGAGAAGGATGAGAATTATAGTATGGTCAAATACATTGTCCTAAGAAAGCCGTATTTGGCTCTTTTACAAAATGCTAGCATGTCAGCCTGACATTGGTCAATGCCATTATTGCGCGAAACACAAATCTTCTCTATCTACTATCTAATGCAATCTATAGTCAACTATTTCTTTTGTTTTTCTCTGAAGCCTATTTGTGTTGACTCCTTCAAATTCTCCACGAAGTTAGTGGTTGCTGTGTCATTAGCTTCATCTATGTTTTTTTTTTCAAAATTTTTTTGAATGCGACATGTGCTCCTCAACCTATAATCTCAATGCTTGTTACTGAAACGTCTCGTCTGATTTTTAAGTTTTACAGAAAGTGATTGGGCACTTCAATGGCTTTCACAAAAGAAAAAGATGGATCTAAGGGATTTGTGAAGAGAGTGGCTTCATCTTTCTCCATGAGGAAGAAGAAGAATGCAACAAGTGAACCGAAGTTGCTTCCAAGATCGAAATCAACAGGTTCTACTAACTTTGAATCCATGAGGCCACCTGAAACAAAGAAGATTTCAGATGTCACAAACAAAACAAGGATCAAACCATCAGGTGGTGTAACACCACAACCAAGAAGGGAAAAGATTGATGATCGTGGTGGTGGGAAGAATAAGAAGTTTGGAAAATGGAGAAGCTTTGATGATAGTGATTCCATCTGGTTATCTTCAGATTGTGCATCTCCTACTTCTCTTCTTGAGGAGCGCAGATTATCAGTATCCTTTCTTTTCTCAGTTGATGAGAGTGTAGTCTCTTGGTTATCAAACCTTGCCAAATCGTCCCTTTCTCTGAATCAGCAAGAAGTAAGTCCCATCAAAGACCGTCCCAGGATCCCAAGGAACACTAAAGAGAATGCAGAGAACATTCAGAAGAAAGATTTGTCTTGTTCTGCTCTAAATCTCACCGTTCTTGATTCTTCTAATCAGAGTTCACAAGGAAAGAAAGTTAGTTTTTCGCCATCTTCTTCAGGTACAAAACTTGATTCAGGGAATTCTTCTCCTTCTCTGTCAATCTCCTCTGATTTGCCGTCTGGTCCGAATAATTTGGTTCATGAGAAAAATTGGAATGAGAAAAGTGCAGAGACTGTGGATTCTAAGAACAGTAGTAATGTTGATGAGCCGCTTTTCTGGCCATATGAACAGAGATTTGACTGGAGACCTGAGGATATCCTGAAGCATTTCTCAATGTCACCTCGGAGAAAGAAGTTATTGAATGCCAAATTTTCTGCAGGTACCTCCCCAAGATCCATGAGAGCACAACTTCTCCAAGCAAGAAAACTAGATCTTAAAGATGGTTGTAAGAGAAAGCTTGTGTTCAATGGCCCTATAACAAACGCATCCAAGATTCCAGAACTCAAAAGAACTACCAGCAATAGCAGCAACAAGAATAACAACAGCATGAAGAACGAGCCAACCAAGAACTGCGTGAAGAGGAACAAAAGTTTGCCATCAAGGTTGAGAAAATCGAGCAAAACATGTTCAAAGGTCGTGCCTGTTGAAATGGGTGAAGGAGTGATTGCAGCAGAGAGAGCCAAAGTGGAAATAACAGCTAGAAAGCTCATAAACCGCAGAAGCAAGACTATGTTGGAAGACGATTTCGCATTGATGAATGATTTCTCAATAGAGAACGCAGTGGGGCTTGGTGAGTTCAAAGGTAGAGAGGGTATAGACTCAGAATTTAACTCTGACACATTCTTTTTTCATGATTCTCTTTGAAACCATAGATTATATATAGTTGCCAGAAACAAAAACAAAAAAAAGCCTGTCTTTGGCAACAAATTTTGTTCTCTTATTTTATGAATTTTCTCTTTAGACTGAGTGTATAATCAGATTATCATTTGATTAGAACAGGCTAAAAACTACAACCCTGGCTCTGATTGTATGAGCATTTTGGAGGAATTCACCTAAAACACTTGCACAAGTCAATCAATTCTAATAAAAACTTAAAATTAATAAATGAAACAAATTATGTAAATAAAACATTAAAAAGAAATCAGTTTAGTTAACGGCGTCGTCACTCGACACCATTTTTTTTTTAAGTTTTCAATTTTTTTAATTTAGTGGCCATTGATGAACGTATTCACCCTTTTTCGTTGTATTTGAACTGGAATTATTTCAGCTGCATGAGCCATACGACCAGATCACACAATTGAATTCTTCTACGTTTTTGGAAGGTATATTCTACATCTAGAAACCAGAGAAGCCTATAGTCTCAAGTCTCTCTCAGAATTTATTAGTTTTCATCTAATTGATTATCGTTCATAGTTTGCAGTGTTATATTAGTGAAAGCATATGCATAGTTTTTAG